CTTCTGGTCTTAAACTTTTCTGGATCTCCAACCATTTCAGAGAATCCAACGTGTTATGTAATATCACCCCTGGAAAAATGTGCCCACTTGGGCTCACACACATAATTTTACACACAATTTCTGGGATCTGCAGAGCCCATAAAGCCCATTCAGAGAGCCCTGGGTGGGGGGTGGGGGGGCTCTGGTTAAAACCGCCATGGTTCTGGGATTACACTTAGAGTCAGAACAGTCTTGAAATCCTAATTAATCCAAAACAGGCTGTGTGACTTTGGATGGGTTACTTAACTTCTCTGGGACTCATTTTCCTTATATATAAAATTGGGGTGATAGCAGTAGCTACTACCTCACAGGGTTGTGAGTAATAAATGAAATGAATAAAACTCTTAGCCTGAAGCCAGGTACACAGTAAGGGCTTATGGTGTTTATTGTCATGGTTATTGTTGTTGTTACTGCTGACGCTGGCCCAGGGCAGAATATAAAAACCAAGTGGGCAGTCCTGGTTCAGCCAGGGAGGCAGGAGGCCATCTATCGGAGTCTACTTCTATAGCAGAAGAAACACGCTGAATTCCACAAGGAGTGTCAGAGTAGCAGGTCCCTGGGGGACAAAAGTGATCCCAATTGGTGGTCAAGTTAATTCCTTTCAAGCAGTGTCAGAACCTTTCTTTCTAAGGGGAGCTCTGGCCTGAGGGCCATTGCTGGTGCTTACACGAATAACCTGGAAACAAATGGGGCTACCACAACAATCTGGATTAAAGCTGATGGAGCATTTGGGGGTTTACTTGAATTATGCTCTTATGCTAAGGAATAACTCATTTTGTTTGGGTCTACAGGGTCCCCTTATCCTGGCAATTCATGCAATGCTCTTTCCCTCCTCTTTGTCTGAAATATTCACTAAAGTAAGGGGAAAACAGATTTTTGCCACACTAATCCCTTCCCCTTCCACTGAAGACAGAATAAGGCTGGACCCTGGTGGCAGAGGCAGCAAGCAGGAATTCAGGAGTCAGGATATAGTACAGACTAGGCTCTGAAGACAGGCATTCCCTGTGCAGCAGACTCCAGGGACCAACTGCTTCCAGCTTCATGGGAGATGACACTGGCTCAGCTGACTGGGGGTGGGAGACCCCAGAGGTCTTCCCCACCCAGCACTGGATCCCAGGAAGGGGCTTAGGCAGGAGAGTGCCTTTCCCCCCCTCCCTCCCGCCCCCACTGCCCCTGAATTACTCCCCTAATTTTCATCATCTCCAGAAATCCTGGGGGGGGGACAGTCAAGGACCAAGCCTCCCCCCTCCATAATACACAATCATTTATACTCCATTCGATCAACAAAAACTCATTCAACCTGTACAGGGAGGGCACCAGGTTCCCGCCTGCCTGCACAGGTCTGGGGTGGATGGAATCCCCCGATCCAAGTCCCTGCCCTCAAGGATCTCCCTCTCTAGGAGGAGAGGGAGTGAGTCTGACTGCGAACCCAAGATACAGCCCCCTGCTCTGCTGGAGGGGCACGGGAAGCCAGTAGATTTGGGTTTCTAGGAGTTCAGAAGATCCTAGCGGCCCACACACTGGGGTCTGGAATGGGGAAAAACTGCAGGGTTGAGAAAAGGTCAGTGGGACAGTTGGCCTGGTTTTTGAACATAGCCTGGATGAGGCAATAGAAGTAAGGGACCCTAAAAAAGGGTGGGTGTCACCATATGCCCCCTTAGCCCCCAGATGTGCCTGCTGGAGCTGTTTTGCTGGGAGTCCAACCAACTAGGCTAAAAACAAAGCCTTCCGATTGGGCTGCAGGAAAAAGAGGTTTGGCCACGGTGGGTATAGAGGTAATATAGCAGATGATTGTGGAATGTCCTGTCCACTTTGACATGATGTGGCCGAAGACTAAAGATCCCCGGAAATAGGGCCCCATTGAAGGAATTCTATGCTCTTGCCCCTCTGCTCCCCAATTCACATTCCTCACCTTCTTGGCAGCGTCACAGTAATTCTGAACGCCACCGTTCCTGAGGGACTGGGAAAGGGACAACAACAGCAAGGTAGTCCTTAAGATACTGTCCTGCAGACCAATATCAGGTGCAGACAAGAATGGCAGAGGGTTATGGGATGGAGCTCCTTCCAGGGTAGGGGCTCAAGAGTTGCTGTTCCCTGATCTGGAGAGGCCTCCTCTCTAGCATGGGGGATGCGACTTGCCTTAGGCTCTGGGTCTGGGCTTTTGGGGTTACGGCAGGAAAGGGCTGGGGTGGGGAGCAGAGACTGAGGCAGGATCCTGAGAGCAGGAAGTGAGAGGAGAGGGAAGACCCCTCAGGCTCTCCAAGCTTCCAAGCCAGCAAAGGTCATCAGGCTCCCGGGCCCCTTCTCCCTCAGGTCCCTCTCCACCTTTCTCAACTCTGACTCCACTGTTGCTGGACCCAGCATCCCCTCGTGGCTTCAGAGCAGCGCTGATGCACTAGAGACAGGCCTGCTTTGAGGACAGTTCTGCCACTCTCGGGGAACTGAGAATCCCACTCTCCCCATTCCTGCCTCTGAGCACCTGTCCTTGCAAATGCAGGAAAGAGGGTGAATAACTCTTCCCAATACTCCCAAGCAGGGCGAGGGCAGGCACTGCATCCCAAACAGGAATCTTTTCTCTGTCACTGTCCCCTTTTCTCTGGGGAGCTGCAAGCCATGTTCCAAACAAACAACTAAACAGGACATAAAGAAACCAATCTCTGCTGTGCGGAGGCCCCTCTGCCCGAGCTGGAGGCATCCCGGGAGAGAACCTGTCCCTGGCCCCTGCCCTGCAGCCCAGCTTGGCTTCCTCCCTCTCTGGGGAAGTATGAGGGGGTCCAAGAAGCCCAAAAGGTCCTATTCTCCCACCCTAACCTCTAGGCTGGGCCACAGTGCCCTGCACTGGCCTCTCTGGGCTCTTTTCTTGACTAAGCAGGGCTACCAGAGCACACTGCCTGCCCAGGAGTTTACAAACAAAGCCAGGAAAAGGGCTGAGGCTGTATGAGGGGAGGGAAAGAGCTCCCTTGGCTCCAGCCCCTCTTGCTCCGCTCCTTTCTTCAGGGGCAGAGGGGCAAAATTAGGTGGTGGGGCCAACGCCCCCATACAAACCCAGGGGAGGGAAACAAGAGTAAAAAGAGCCTGGGGGTACAGCCCCTTTGGGTGCCTCTAGGGAATGAAAGACATAGGTAGGGTTCAAACACGCCTAAATACCCACAGGTTACATATGTTTACACAAATACACACATTGCGAACCCCAAACAAATGTACACATTCAAAAACGTAAACACATTCAAATACCGATGGCGCACAAATGCTTGCCTGATGTACACAGAGTCGGGCCCATAGGGTTCCCAGCCCCCAGTCCGACTCGAACCCGGCTTCCCCGCGGGTTCCTGGGAGCGCAGCCCCAGCCTTGGCCCGGCCCCCTCCGGCCCCCGCCCCGCATCCGGAACAGCTGGACTCGGGCGGTGTACTGGAGCCCGGCGCTGGGCTGGGCGGGGCCGGCAGCGGGGCCCGGGCCGGGGCCTGGGCAGAGCTCAGCGGGGAGGCCCCGAGCCGGCCCCGTTAGCCCAGGCAACCGGCCCGGCTGCCCAGTCGGGCGCCCGTCACCAGGCGGTCCCGTGGCCCCAGTCGGCCGGGAGAGCCGTGGCCCGAAGAGTGTGCAAGACCGCCGGAAGAGGTAAGGTTGTCGCTTCGGGCTCAGGCCGGTGGAGAGGTGCCTGGAGCCACCAATAACTCCCCCCTCCGCCTCTCGGCTGGGGAAGACTGATTCCTCTGGCTGACCCCCTCCCCTCGACCCCTGGAGTCCTCCACCCCTGTCCCGTGTCGCCTCACCCAGGGCTGCAGTACCCGCACGGACCTCCCGCGGGCCAGCCTGGAAGCTGCAGATTCCCTCTCCCCAGGCGCATGGACCAAGGCCGGGGGTGACGGACAAGGAGGGTCGACGGGTAGGCACGCTGGGTCCTTGATCTCAGCTCGGCAAAGTCCGCACTGGGCGGCGGCGGGGCCCACCCAGGCTCCTGGTCTTACCTGGCCCGCGCGGCGGCCGCGTCCCTCTCCGGCTGGGCTCACGCGGCCCTTCTCGGGCGCCAAATCCCGGGTCGGAGAGCCCGAGACCTCCGGGCCAGCGCTACCATCACAGCCAGGCCGGCGGGAGGCGGGTGCGCCGGGAGCGAGGCTTGCAGTTTGGGGTGGGGGCGGCGGCTTTTGAGTCGCCCGAGGTTCGGGTGCAATAAAGGCGCCGCTAATGTAATTTACAAACAGCTCGGGCCGAGCGCAGCGCAGCGCCCGGACTGACAGGCGCATTAGGCAGGCTAATTCCAGCCGGCTCCTCCTACCCCCGGCCCGCTAATTAATGAGCTTCCCAACTTAGAGCCGCTTGCATTGGACAGACAGAGAGTGAAAGAGAGGGCGAGGGAGAGGGAGAGAAGGAGAGAGACGGGGGGGAGCAGAGAAGAGAGAAGAGAGAGAGGGAGGGAGAGAGAGAACAGGAGGAGAGAGAACAGAGAGAAAGAAGAGAGAGGAGAAAGGGAGAAAGGAGAGAGAAATAGAGAAGTGCCGTTGCAGATAATTGATTACTCCTCGATCAAGGCTAACTTGTTAGCAATAGTCAATTGCCCCATCTCTCCGCCTCCCCTCGCAGTACGGGATCGGCGCCCTCGCCTCGGCTTTTCCAACTGCCGCCGCCAGGACCCGGGGCCAGGAGCCGCCGCGGAGCCACCTGACACCTTTAAATAGCACCGGGGCTGGCGAAACTGGAGCCCCGCGCGGCGCGCCCCGGCTCGGGCCCCGGATTGCTGGAAGCCCCGGCGGCGGCGGCGCCCGCGTCAGCGCCCTCCTTCCGGGGCCCCGTGCAGCTCTGCTTGCCTCTGCCGCTGCGCTAATCGGCCCCGCGCCCGGCGCGGCGCCTGGCCCGGCGCGGCCTTCTTCCCGCCCGCCGCTGCCGCCCACCCGCGCCGCCCGGCGCCCGAGCTGCCCGCGGGCTGGGTCCCCGCGGCCCGAGCCGCCCCGGCCGGGCCCCCAAACAAGGCCGAGATGACTTCCAAAGAGGATGGCAAGGCGGCGCCGGGGGAAGAGCGGCGGCGCAGCCCGCTGGATCACCTGCCGCCTCCCGCCAACTCCAACAAGCCGCTGACTCCGTTCAGCATCGAGGACATCCTCAACAAGCCTTCTGTGCGGAGAAGTTACTCGCTGTGCGGGGCGGCGCACCTGCTGGCGGCCGCGGACAAGCACGCGCCGGGCGGCTTGCCCCTGGCGGGCCGCGCGCTGCTCTCGCAGACCTCGCCGCTGTGCGCGCTGGAGGAGCTCGCCAGCAAGACCTTTAAGGGGCTGGAGGTCAGCGTCCTGCAGGCAGCCGAAGGTAGGCGCCTCCGCTGGGTTCCCCTGCGCCCAGCACCCCAGGACCCGCTCCCTGTGCCCCACTCTTTGTACCCTATGCCTCTGCCCACCTCCTCCCGCGCCTGCTGTCAGGGCCCTCCAGCCCAAGCCGCTGCCGCTGGGAGTGGAAATGAGTGGGACAGGACCCAAACCCTATTTCCTAGGGACCTCTGGATAGGCCAGAGTCGAGTGACCCAGGAGGGGTGGCGGGAACCCAAGATCTCTCCGCAGTTTGCCTGCTCTGCTTGGCTCCCTCCCGTTCCCAGTGGCCTGGGCGCTCCTCGCCCTGTTCCTGGGTTGGAGAACTGAGAGCCTTTCAGCTAGGGCTTTTTATGGGTAGGGGTAGAGTCAGGGTGATTGGGAAGAGGTGTGGAATCAACATTCACCCAGCAGTCGGGGCGTCCCTGTCTGGCTCCGTTGTGCTCTAGCGACCTCGGGTCTTTCAAATCAACTCTTAGGTGGGGAGCAGAGACTAAAACAATTTTTCCTAGAGACTTCCGGTAGACAGTTGTCGGGGAAGGTTTGCCTTAGGCGAGGCTTGCCCTAGTCCGGGAGGCCGAATCAAATCTGAGAAGGGAACTGCAACAGACCTCAGGCCGGATGGGCCTGGGTGGGGTGAACGAGAGCCGGGGTGTGGTCTCCTCTCCCCTGGCGCAAGCCTATACTTATGGTTTCCTCGCAGGCCGCGACGGGATGACCATATTCGGGCAGCGGCAGACCCCCAAGAAGCGGCGAAAGTCGCGAACAGCCTTCACCAACCACCAGATCTATGAGTTGGAGAAGCGCTTCCTCTACCAGAAGTACCTGTCCCCCGCTGATCGCGACCAAATCGCGCAGCAGCTGGGCCTCACCAACGCTCAGGTCATCACCTGGTTCCAGAATCGGCGTGCCAAGCTCAAGCGGGACCTGGAGGAGATGAAGGCCGACGTGGAGTCCGCCAAGAAACTGGGCCCCAGCGGGCAGATGGACATCGTGGCGCTGGCCGAACTCGAGCAGAACTCGGAGGCGGCGGGCGGCGGTGGCGGCGGCTGCGGCAGGGCCAAGTCGAGGCCTGGCTCTCCGGCGCTCCCTCCGGGCGCCCCGCAGGCCCCCGGCGCCGGGCCCCTGCAGCTCTCTCCTGCCTCCCCGCTCACGGACCAGCCGGCCAGCAGCCAGGACTGCTCAGAGGACGAGGAAGACGAAGAGATCGACGTGGACGATTGAGCCGCGCCCGGGATCTTCCGCCGCTCCGGGCCCCTAGCGCCGGTACGCCCGCCGCCTCCCGGACCGCCGAGGGGAGCTGGGACCTCCTCTGCAACTCCCGCCTTCTCCTCCCCCGTCCCGGGCCCGGACTCAGCTCCCGGCAGCCGCCTCCTCCCTCTCGAAGCAATAAACCTGGGCTGGCCGGCCGGGCCGGCCGCCGCGCACGGCCTCCGACGCCCCGGGAGCCCTCGCCGTGCAATTCTGTATGGCTCCTGTATAAATATTTAAACTTATATAGCGGGTTCTTCCCACCTCAGCCTGACTTTTTTCTTTCTTTCTTTTATTTTTTTAAATCTCGGAGATTTCCATGTTTTCAAAGCTCTCAGGCTGCTGGGTTTGCTGAGGGAGAGGCAGTAGGGAGGGTAACGAACACTTAACCCCGCGGTCTGGAGGAGGGGGCCCGCCCCGACTGTTTTGATTTTTCTCTGCATGTGGCGAATGCACTGGCCCTCTTCCTCCTCGCCTCCCTAGGCCTATTGCAGTTGACTTCTTTTATTTCCTTCTGCCCCTTTTCCCCGCGTGGGAAGGGGCTGAGGGGGACAGCCGGGTCCTGACTTGCAAGTTTCAAATCGATCTTTTCTCTCCCCTATCCCCGACCCCAGAAGTCTGTTTTCGATGCCATTTCTGCCTCCCGATGCCCACTGACGCTATTTTTAAGATTCCTCCTCGCCCTCTCTCGTTTTCCTTGGATTGACTGCTGGGGTCCGGGTCTTCAGGACAAAGCAGGGGGAAATCCAACCAATCAGCCAACTAAAATGGAACCCAAAGCCCTAGAATTATTTTTTACTCTTTTTAGAATTTTTTTGCATGTGACAGAGACCGAGAGGAGGCCACCCGAAGTCCTTGTCCCACCTCCTCCGCAGCCCTGGGTCTGACTGCAGTCTCCAACGCCCGCCCTGCTCCTGCTCCTAGCTCCACTTGGCCAGACAAGGGTGACTCGATGAGGGTGGGTCCCGCGTGCCCCTTCCCTGCTCCTGCCCTGCCCTCTCCGCCCCAGACTGTACCCAAGGCCTCTTTCTCCGATAAATAAAGTCTTTGCCATTTTACTAGAACCGGGGGTGATCGTGTCTGAATGAGTGGGCCCTATTCAGGGAAGCCGCGGCCGGCTCCGTGTCTCGCCACTGGTCGCTGCTGGCTGCCCAGGCCTTGGCGACTTGGAGGAGTTTCGGGGCAGGCGCAAGGATAAGGGGTGAGGGGAAAGCAGGAGGAGAAAGTGCCTCCCACCCAGAAACACACGGCAGCTACCAAATTGGGGGTGCGGGTGAGAGAAGCGGGCTTCGCCAGGTCCGGGTAAAAAGTGAGGCGTGCACTGCTGGGAGAAAGAGTGCATACACTGGGGACGTCACGGGTGGAAAATTAATTTTGGGGGGGAAAGATGGGTAGGTGGGGGGACTAGCCCTGCGTCTCGTGCATCCCACCCCCACCCCAGGGCATTCCTCTCGTGTTCTGCGGGCCACGGGCTAAGCGCCCGGTGTACCGCAGGTATAGCTCAGTTGGCAGCAGGGTGCAGCCTGAGGCCTCCCAAGTTTTGGTTCCGCCGGAGGGCCTTGCCCTTGGGGGAGGGAGGAAAATGAGGCCAAAGGCACCAAGGGCAAGCTGAATTGCGCACGCGGGCACAGGGACGTGTGAGCCCGAAGCGTCTGAGAGTTGGGGTGAATTTCTGGTAACATTCACAAATTCTGGGCCCCCCTGAACTCGGCTGGGGGCAGAGGTCAATCTCCCCAGGACTCTCTGGGGTCCCCGCGCCCCGAGGGCGGCTGGGGCAGGGACGCAGGCAGCTTTCACTTTTCCGGACAGAGCGGGTTTCTCTCTGGGCTTTTGTTGTCGCGGGGCTGGCGAGTGGCCGCTGTCACCAAAGGAGGGTCCCGCCTCCGGGCCGCTCGGCTCTCTTTCTCCGCAAAATTGATGTGAGAAATGCGCATCTGGTCTCGGGCAGGCGATGGGGCCCCGGGGTCTGAGTCGGGAGCGTGCGTGTCCAGGAGGAAACTAAGAGACAGAGAGAAACAGAAGAAGGAGCACAGAAAGACACTCCAAAAGCAGAGCGAGAAAGCGGGAGTCGCGGAGACGGGGATGGGGGGGGGGAGAAAGAGAAAGAGGGAAGGCTTCACACGGGGAGACAGACTGAGAGACCGAGACGGAGAAGCAGGGAATGGAGAGGGAATGGGAAAGGGTGAGAAGAGAGAGCAGAGAACGAAAGGAGGAGAGGCGGCAGGGCAGCCAGGCGGGCGTGCGGCCGGTTCCTCCCGGGCGACATAAATCGCCCTTTCTCAGGATGGATGGGTCTGTAATTCGGAGCGCGGACCATGAAGGCCGGGACGAATGGACCCGGGCGGCCGCTGACAGGCGACAATAGCCGGGCCCAGCCCCCCGCGGCTCCGGGTGCGGGCGCGGCCGCGGCCCTCCGCAGCCCAGAGCGCGCCGGCGCTGGCGACCATATGGTTTTTGAATTTTCTTCACAATTTGTAGACAATTTGATGGATTAGGTCCCCGCGCGCGCCTCCCCGGCACAAAGGCGGCGCGGGGACCGCGGAGCGGCGGTCACCCGGGCATCTGCGCCCGCCGTGCGCACCCCCGCCCCCGCCCGGCCCCCGCCCCGCGCCCGGAGCCCGGGGCCGCCCGCCCAACACGCCCATGAATCCCAATGAAGCGGCCCTGGCACCTCCGGCCGCTCGCAGCTTCGCGGCCCCGGGCCGGGCCCTGCTGGGTCCCTCCGGGCTGGGGGCGGCAGCCCCGGGGCTGAGCCCACCCGAGCTGCGGCGCCCGCGGGGCGCGCAGCTAAGCAGGCGCATCGGGGCTGAGGAGAAACGGGACCATTTATCCGCCCGTCTAGTTAAAGCGGGTTATTTGTTTGCTTCTCCGGCCTCCCCTCCCCTCCCCTCCCCTCCCCCTTCCCTCCTCCCCCTCCTTCCCCCTTCTGCCTTTTATTCTTTTGTCTCTAAATGGATTTAATGAGCCTGAAAAACATGACAATTGAATATAACCAAGAAATAAAAAATAACGAGGGAGGAAGGAAGGAGGAAAAGAAAGAAGGAAAGAAGGAAGGAGAAGGATTAATAAAATAAAGGGAAAATCTATTCCACTCAGCAAATGTTTATTATGCGTCTTTTCTGCGCCGTGCCACACTGGGGGCTGGGGAAATGGAAGCGAGTCAGACCCAGTTCCTGCCCTCAAGGAGCTCCCAGTCTAGCGGACGAGACCCGTTGCACCCCCCTGGCGCTATCAGGGGGCCTGGGCCGGGGGCAGGGAAATGCCCTTCACAGAACGCCGAGAGCCGGCTCCGGGCTTGGGGTGGTGGGGGCTTCCCGGAGGAGGTGGCATTGGACCCAGGCCTTGAAAGATGAGAAGGAATTCGTTGTTTCTATAGGTCAGAAAGAAGGGCGGGCGAAGGAAGGGCAGGACGGGCGTCGGTGGGAAGCGGAGAGAAGCACACGCCCGAGCCCTGGGCTGAGCGGAGCCGAGGAGGCCTGGGGAGAGCGCGCTGTGGGTTGGGTCCCGCACAGTTTGGGGAGCGAATTCTGGTCCCCCATCAGTCTCCTCGGCTCTGCTGGATGCGAAGCCTCCTCCAGGCTGCCTATGGGCTTCCGGAGCCCGGCTGCCAGGGCGCTTGGCCGTTTCGGCCAGTCTCCACCCGACCGAGCACCGCGGCGTGGGGTATTTTCCCGGCCCCCTGGCGCAGGGAGGCGACGGCGGCAGTGGGCAGGGGCTGAGGGGTCGACTGTAGGCGGGAGCTTGGGGCTAGGAGTCCGGGGAGGCCTGGGCTCCCACCCACTCTCTCCTCAGCTCTCCTGGCTCTGACCGGAGCGCTCGGGTGGCCTTGGCCGCGCTTCGGGCGCTACCACGGGGACCTGCGATGTGAGAGGGCCTCGAATCCCAGCGCCGCCCTGGGCCTCTTAGCGGCCGCCGACCGGGCCTGCCCCGGTGGCGGCCGCTGTGCCATTGCACCGCCTGCGAGCGCTCCAAGGGCGCGGGCCGCACGCCTTCCGTGGTACTCCCCGCGTGTGAGTGTACGTGTGAGTGTGATGTGGATGGCGTGAGGGGCTGCGGGCCCTGCGCCCATTCTCAGGGCGAGACTCGTTAAGGCTCGGGGCCCGCCCGGGGCCGTGGCAGGCAGGTTCCCTGAAGGGCTCTGGCCTCTCTGCAGACCCACTTTCGGTTCCTGGCCGCGCGGGGAAAACCGCCTGGCTTTTCCTCTTCCTTCCCTGTTTGGTCCGGGGCCTCGGCCCCGCTTGCCAAGCTCCAGGACGCGGGCCGTCTCTGCTCTCCCGGCCTGGGACCCCGCGGCGAGCTGCCGGGCCGGGCCCCACTGCGCGAGCCGGCTGTCTCGGCTTTCCCGGCTCTGCCTTCCCCGGCCCGGCCCGGCGGACGGCGCCGGGTGAGGCCGGGAGGCGCAGTTCCTTATTTTACGAGGTGTCGGGCCGGTGTCAGACGCAGCTCCGATAAGTAATACTCCAGTCTGAGGGACCAGAACGTGGTAATTAATCCCAAAGACTTAAGTGTATTTTAGTTCAGGAGAAAAAAAATCACTAATTCAATCGTCCGGAAAATTGAAGTTTGATGCATGAGTCCCCCCTGAAAGGGATGGGCTGGGGCCTCATGCCTCCCCTCCGCCCCTGCCGGTCGCCGCGGGGACCCCCTCCTCCCTACCCTCCTGAGCTTCCAAGTCCAGGGAAGTCCACTCACCCGTCGTGCATGTCCTCAGCCACGTGAACCCAGGGGCACCTTGGCTTTGCTCCCTACCCCCACAACCAACCCCTCTTTCTTGGGGCCCAGAAAGTGGTTTGTGCTGAGACTACAGATATTCCCCCAAACACGCACACCAGGCAAGGGGTATAAGGGAGCCTAGGAGGTGAAGGAAGAGTGACTGGGTAAGGGGCCCAGAGTGGAGAGGGTGGGGCACTGCAGGGCGCTTGGAACCTGAGAGTAGTGGGGTCAGGAGGGCCAGCAGGTAGGAGGCTGCTGTC